CAGGATCTCAGGGAGGGCAGGGCGAGGCACACGGAAGGAGGAAACGGCATTTCACATGGGCTGGCAGAGGCCCACAGGGGCAAATGATGGCCAGAGTCAGCTCCTCGCTGGGTCCTGAGCCCAGAAGAGATGGGGCTGGGCACAGGGCACAGAGGAGCACCTTTGGGCTCTCTGGGGAGGGAGTCTTAGGTCTTCAGGATAGGCCTGGTCTAAACCAACACACACACACACACACACACACACACACACACACACACAAACACACCCCACTTCCAGGAGGTATTGCCACACTGGACTCCTTGCCTCTGGAGGACTGTCTGCAGTGACCCCTGGAGGGCAGAGGGATAGGATTCTACCCCAGAACTGGGGCTTCTCAGCCCTGCAGGGGACTGACCATCTGCTCTTCCTGAGTTCTGCCTCGTTTATCGCCACATGATGGTTGCAGAAGGCAGAACTGCTCCCTCCACCCCACCTTTCCGAGTGCCTCAGTCCTTTTGAACCTGTTCGGAACTTCAACTCTCTACAGCAGATCTCGCTCCCTCCTTACTGAGGAACTCCAGCAGTCACAGTTGCTTCATAGAGTGCAAACCTGGTTGGAGAGAGGACAGCGGGCAGGGCGCTTGCCTTATATGCAGGGGGTCCCGGTTCCATCCCTGGCGTGGCCTACGGCCACCCCTGCCCCATCAGGAGTGAGCCCTGAGCTCAGAAATGGAAGTAAGCCCTCAGCACCATCGGGTGTGGCCCCACAACCTAAAAAAAAAAAATGCAAACCTGGGCTGGGGAGGTGACGAAGTCTTCATGGTGGGGAGCCCGAGTTGGATCCGTGCCACTGCCTGGTCCCCAGTAACATCTGGAGCGACCCCTAAGCACTGAACCAGTTGTAACTGTGTGTAGCCCCCAAACCAAACAAACAAAAATGAAAAAGAGAAGTGCCTGCGGCCAGTGATAGTATAGTAGGTAGGACGCTTGCCTCAGTACAAGTCGACCCAGGAACAATCCATGACACCCCATATGGACCCTGAGCCCCACCAGGAGTGATCTCTGAGCACAGAGTCAGGAGTAAGCACGGCCGGGTATGGCCCAGAAACCCAGCCAGGCCCCCTCCTCTTCCCTCCTCCCCCGCCCCAAAGACATGCCTGCTCCACCGGGAGAGGCTGGTAGGGGTTAGACAAGCCCAGGTTCTCACAGCTGGGAGAATGTGAGCGGAAATGTACCCACCCAGGAAACCAATTTATTACAGAGAGACCTTCTTACACGGGACACGGGTCAGTGAGAGGAGGGTGTCTGTCCAGCCCTGCACGTCTCTGTCCAATGGGAAGAGCAGAGCTGAAAAGTGAAGCAGTTTTGAGGGATCTTATTGCTGCTGCTAGCCCGAGAGGAAGGGAGAAGCCATGAAGATGGGCCAGAAAGTCCATGACCGTGAGAGGCCGGGACCAAGGTTGCTTATTCTTTTATTTATTTATTTATTTATTTATTGTCACACCTGGCGAAGCACAGGGGTTACTCCTGGCCCTTCCCGCTGTGCTATCACTCTAGCCCCTCCCCCTTTTAAAAAATTTTAAAGATCCTATTTATTTTATTTAGTTTTTGGGCCTCACCCGGTGACACTCAGGGGTTACTTCTGGCTCTGCACTCAGGAATCACTCCTGGCCATGCTTAGGAGACCATACGGGATAATGGGGCGCAAACCCGGGTGGGCGCATGCAAGGCAAATACCCTCCCTCTTGTGCTATCACTCCAGCCCGCTGGACCAAGTTTGATTAAATGAGCTGCTGCCAACACAGGGCAGGAACTGGCAGAATATGGCCTGAAGGGCACACACAGCCCCCCTCTGGTTTGCATCCAGACAACTCGTGAGCTAACCATGCTTTAGCTCTTAGACCCATGGTTTGTTTGGCGCACAGAGAGGGTTGGAACACACCCAGTAGTGCTCTAGGGCTGTTCTTGGCTCAGGAGTGCCCCCTGGAGGTGCTCGGGGGAACTACAGATGATGCTGGGTATAGAACTACAGGGTCAGTTAAAGTGGCTGCATTCTAGACAAGTGCTTTAACCTCTGTAGGATCTCTCCAGCCCCTAACCGTGGTTTTCAAACCTAAATGTCCAGAAAAATAAATTCAAATGTACCACTTCACGATGCAGGCAATCCGGGTGAAATGCAAACTCCCATGTCCTAAGCAAAGTTTTCCGGAAACAGTTGTGCCCATGTGTGTGCTACTACAGCAGAGCTGAATCATTTTACGAGACCTTCTGGCCTGCAAAGCGCAAGTGTTTACTCTCTGTCCCTTAACAAAGTTTGCTGACCTTTGATTAAGAGGATTGGTGGGGGGGGCGGGGGAAAGGGGAAGAAACTTGGAATTTGAACAGCCCAGGGGTGCTGAGGGCTGTAAGTCTGATCCCAAACTAAAGTTGCTAGAGAATCGAAGGCTATGAGAATCTGGGAGGCAGAGTCCCGCGGGGACCTCGAGCACACACACACACACACACACACACCACCGCTTGCATCACCCAGGCTTGTCCCACTCAGGGCCCACAGTCATGGGCAGGCGTCCAGCATACAGGGCGGTTCTGACGGTCCATCCTGCAGCTGACTGCTGAGATCTGGCAGAGCTGCTCTCGATAAATCGGGACTTCCCTGGTGCTCCCGCATGTCTCGGGGAATCCCCAGGGTCCAGCTCCTGCCCTGTTGCCCACATGGCCGAGTCTGGAGCACCCAGAGGGAAGGCGGCAGCGACAGCCGTGTGGGGTTTTGTGCTCCTCCCTCGGGCCCGCTGCTTGCTGGGAAGGTGCCCCATTCAGCGCCCGAACAAGGGAATCATTCAGCCTAGCCTCGCTCTCGACTCTGCTCGGCCCCTTCCCTGACCAGCACAGGCAGGACGCGGCCTCTAAGCCTCAGCCCAGCTGCTCAGGCTGATAAAGGCCCATTGTAGCGGCTTCCAGAGAGCCAGGGGCTATCAGGAGACCGGCCCGCGGCCAGTGTCAGGGCCCTCCAACATTTGTGAAAAGAGTTAACAGGGCCGAGTGGAGGCCGAATGAGACCCCTGGGCTGCCAAGGGCCGGGCCTTGGCAGGGAGGCTAACGGCAAAACCAGCAGGGTCAGGCCTGCCGCCAATCTGAAGGCACCCACAAACAGGGCTGGGTGGCGGGGGGGCGTCCCCTCCAGACACCTGGAGTAGGAAATCCAATCTCCCACCCCCACCCTTACCCCCAAATGCAAGAAACACAAGTGCTCTGTTCAAAAGGGCCGGGGAGAGAGCAGCCCTCCCCTCCCCCACAGGGCGTGCAGAGTGATACAGCAGGAAGGGGCCCGGCTGCTGCCGAGGAAGTGGCCTGGAACCCATTTAGGACTTGCCTCTGCTCCTTGTTCCAGACACACTCGGGCCGCCCAGGCACCTCATCACTCACAGGCCTCCTCGTCTTACGGTGAAATAAAACATGTTAGGAAGAGGCATCCCGAGGCCTGAGGTGAACAAGGCGGGGGCAGAGCCACACGGGGGTGGGGGAGCCCCTGCTGGGAGGGTGTGTGTGTGTGGGGGGGGGGGGGCAGGAGCCCACCCTTACACACGTGCATGCATGCGTGCCTGCGTACTCACAACGGGAGGTTCCAGCAGAGGCTCTGGCAGGGCCCACCTCAGCTCTGCCTCAGGCCTGCTGTGCCTGGCTGGACCCTGGGAGAGGGAACTGTGTCCGGGTCAGAGTGTAGCCTGCAGAGGCCTCTCAGAGGCCGCTCCCTGCTGCCATGCGGTGATCAGAGGGGAAGGGGCAGCTAGCACGGGGTGGAGGCAGGAGGCAGAGTAGGTAGTTCCCTCTTCAGGGAGCTGCTTGCCCACCCCAGCACCCCCTGCCAGGTTAGGCAGCGCCAATCTGCTGCCAATCTGCTGCTGCAGAGTGCGAATGTCTCAGAGCAAATCCAAGCGGCTGCTGCAGCCCAGGTCCTGGCCCAGCAGGTGCGGGCAGGCCTCCAGCTCCCAGGTAGGTCAGGTTCCTTAGCTCTTCCACTGCCCGGCCTGCTCCAGCCCAGCTCCTCGCACACCCCGCCTGCACCCCTCAGATTCCTTTCAAGCCAGGGAGACGGGTCTGGAGCAGTTTCCTGCCTCGCTGGAGGGCCCCAGAGAGTGTGCGTGTGTGCGTGTCTGTGCATGCCCGTGCTGAAACTGCTGGAAAGCTCTGCAGGGGCGCGCGCGCGCGCGCGCGCGTGTGTGTGTGTGTATGAGTGTGCATGCGTGTGCACGCACGCGCAGACACACAGTTCCAGCCGAAACGGAACAGTCTGTTCGGTTCCCACAGCTCCTACAAACCCCCCAAACAAGCCCGGAGGCCTTGGCCGGAAGATCTGGGTGTCATTTATTGACAGTGGTTCACACACTCGCTGTCCTCCCGGGGCTGTTTCCGCTGGCTCAGAGTGCGGCCGAGCTGGGGAGAGGGCAGTCTCAGGGCTGCGGCGCAGGTGGTGGGCTGCACATCCTTGGCGGGATGCAATCCTTCAAGCTGGAATCCCACAGGCACGGGGGACGGTGAGGTGGGGGGGCGGAGAGGCCCATTCACAGGACTCACATCTGTCCCGGCCAGCTCTCAGGAGCATGGGGGGGGTCCTGCGCATCGGGCCCACCCACCTTCACACGGGCTGATCCTTCTGCCCTGCCGGCTTGGACACACCTGCACTCGGCAGAGCATCAGCCTGATGGTATCTCAGAGGTCCCCTTGACACTGACCGGCCCAGGCATCAGCAGGAACCACTGGGAGACGGAGACATGCCTTGTCCCTTCAGCCACAAGTGCCGTCGTCTCCCTCCGGCCTGAACGCACCGTTGTTTGGTGGCTGCAAATTTTCTTGGGCAAAGCCGGGCTCCCCGGCCCAGCCATGCAGGCCTGCCTTTCTTCTGCCAGCTGCCAGCAACCCTGCACACAGCACGGGCCGGTGGATGAAAACGTGGGTGGGAGGGAGAGAGGGAGACAAAGAGCTTCATCCCACAGAGCAAGCTGAGATCTACAAGTGATTTTTACTTTTATTTCCTTCACTCGAAGCCAATCACGAAATCGTCACAGTGATTTCTGGGGTAGGGGCGTGGGGGAGGGGCCGGAGGGAGGTGTCACCGGCCTCACTGGGGCAGCTGCAGGAGCACCGACTGTCCGGCGGGCAGGTAGGTGATGTTCCGGGAGCGGGAAAGCTGGTAGGCGATGTCCTCGGCCGCCTCCAGCTTGCGCAGCTCGATCAGGCCGTCCCCTGCGGTGGCCAGCGAGTTGGCGATCAGCTCGGCCGCCTTGGAGTCGCCTTCGGCAGAGATGATGGCCGCCTTCTTCTGCTGCTCGGCCTGGTGAGGGGAGGCGGAGAGAGAGACAACATCACACCCCGAGCCTTGGGGGTGACCGGCCCGCACTGACCAGTCCCTTCGTCCTGGCCCGAAACACCCCCTCTGACCCGAAGGATGCCAGCTCCAGCACTGGGCTCAAAGACTGGGATTCTTTCAAACACCCACTGAGCGCTAACCGCAATCTGGTCCAGCCACGTGACCCCCAGACCAGGACAAGCCAAGCCCGAGGAGGAAGGCAGGAGAAGAGGAAGGTAGAACTCAGTGCCCGGGCTCATCTTCCCCGCAGCTACGGATCAAAGTGACTTTCAGTAAAGCCCGTGTGAGGGCTGGGGTCATGCCTCAAGGGGCTGGTTGCAAGCTTTGCACGAGGGAGGCCTGAGTTTGGTCCCTGGCACCGCGAGTACCTATGGGAGCAACCACAAACCAAACTGACCAAACCCGAGTGTGGCGACACAGGGAGCGGCAGGCCCATGACTCCTGAGAGCTGGTCATGAGCAAGTGGCCTCTCAGACAGATACTCAGGCCCAGGCTCCACCCTCGGCATCAAGGGATGCTGCCCTGGCACATGGGAGCGTGTGTGTGTGTGTGTCCCTGGTGAGCTTGGGGGGCACCAGATGTGGCACTGAGGATTCGAACCTGGGTGGGTCATGTGCATGGCCAGCTCCTCGCCCACTGTACTATCCCTCCTGCCCTCAGACCTGGCTTGGACACTTTTCAAGGCTGTGACTGTTCACTCAACATAGGTGCTCTGACACCGAGGACCCCCGTGGTACCGTTAAGGCCGCGGCAGAGACAAGACACCGCAAGTCCCTACTCTGGGAGCCTGGGGCCCCAGCACACAGGCTGGTCAGGCAGAAACTGCTCTTTCCCCAGACTCCAAGGGCAGAGGGGTCTTAGGGATCAGTGACGGGCGTAGGGAATGGCACGCTGTCTCTTGATTCAACTTTGCAAAGACCACCAAGAGCAGGGTGAGCTGCCATCTGCCGTGTCCCCCGGAACCTGCCACATCTGGAGGGACTTAGCACGTGGGAAAACAACAAAACAAAAAGCAACCCAGGGGTGATAAAGCCCTCGGAGCAACACTCGTACCATTCTCCTGTTAGCATTCGTGGGGTAGCAACCCTGCTTACAAACTCTCTAGTGAAGCTGAAAACGGTCCAGGAGAAACTTTTTTTACTTGGACAAGAGTGTGTGTTTGATCTCGGGGAGGCGGGGGAAATAAATTACCCTTCTGTGATTTAAGAACGTAACTTCACATGTCCCCGACTAGGCCCCGAAGGCTCTGGAACCAATTGCTAGCGGATGGCCCCTTCAATCCCTTTCCCATGATCCCGGAAGCAGAGATGACAGGTGATGGATTTCCAGGCCACCCGGAGAACGGGGCGGCCGAGGGGCCCCTGCCATCTGGCTGAGCGCTCACCTTTTCCACCACAAATCTGGCCCTCTCTGCTTCCTGCTGAGCCACCTGCTTGGCTTCTACTGCTTCTGTGAACTCCTTCCCGAAGGTCAGATGCGTCTGAGGGGAGAGAGCGAGCGCGATGGGGCCGCGTAATCGCTTCACCAGCGTGGCCGAGGCAGGAAGGAGCCAGGAATGGCTCCAGCAGCTGGGAGCGGCGTCAGGCCAGAACATTCTCCCACCTGCAACCGCGCGTCCCCACCCCGAGTTCACACCCCCAGAAGCCATCGCTGCCGTCGCCCCAACTGCTCCTGGGCATCACTCTGCCACACTTAGGGTGGAGAGTGCCAGGGGGACTCGGCACTGCCTCCCCAGGGGCACACATCTGTGGGGGATTGTGGGGCCATGGTCCTTTGATGCCCCCTTAGAAGCTCCCACAGAGAGGCCAGACGGAGTGGGTGTGGTTCAGCGGGTTCTCAGGGATTCAAGCCCCCGGCTCTGCTTATAGATTAACCATCCCGCTTTCTCCCTGCACAAAACAGGAAGGGGGTGGGAAGGTGGGCTGCACGTCCCGATGCTCCTGTGCCCGAGGGCTCTGGGAAAGGGCTCATGAGAGAGCAAGGGCAGGAAAAGCGATTGCTCAGGGCGAGAGTCAAGTTCCAAGTACCTATGGGCCGCCCACAGTGAGTGGAAATACCCCTGGGCTGCAGTGACGGCTGAGGAAGCAGTTCACGGAGCCGAGCTGAGCCTCTGACGCTTAGACAGCGAGCACCTCACCGACTCATGCAATGTCTTCAGAAGAAGACACGGAGGAAGAGAACAACGCCAGGTCCTCTGCTTCACTTCCTCCCCTCCCAGATGCTGCTTTGTACTGGAGAGTTCAGAACTTCTGAGGCGTGAACCCTTGTCCTCAGGTTTCTGGACTTTTTTTTTTTTAAACACGACTAACTCATAAACTGCAGCTGTCCGATTCTGCCTGGCCCCCTTCTGGATCCCTGCTCGAGTTGTGAGGGGGTGGGAGTGGGGTGGGGTGGGGAACAGGGACACACAACCCGAAGAAATGAAAAATGAAATGTGTAATTAGGGAATTAACTTTCTTTCTACCAGGGCCAGCGGAGGGCAGCAAAGTCCCCGTGAAATCTCATTTTCCTCTCACACCTCTTAAGACGGGGTTTCTTGTGGTCAGCCCACATTTCCCCAGAATCAAAGCGTGTGGTTGGAGTCGAGCAAAACGCCAAGCTTCTCCCTCGGTTCTCTCTCTGCCCGCCCCACCGCCAGGGTTAAGCGCTCCAGGGCCAAGGGGGAGGCACGGCTGCAGCCTGGCGTCTCGCCAGCAGAGGGAGCCCCACGAGGCCCGGGGTTGGTACAGGGATGGAGAGAGACTGTTGGGAACAGCTGTGCAGATGCTGAGGGGAACACCAGGCGCGGGAGAGCCCAACAGGAAACACTCCACCTTGCTACCCGAACAAATCACGAGTGATTTTTCCCAGAGAATCCGGAAACAGGACCTGCTCCCCGGCCCCTCCGCCAGCTGAAATGCTATCCCGGCAGGCACGGCTTCTGAGTTACGGCATTCGATGGCACATAAATCCAGTCTCCAGAGGCAGCCGATACCTCCGAGATGTCCTTTGCCCTCGTACCAGGCGACGGGGAACAGAACCTTCCAGTTACACTCTATCACCTTTCATGGGCTTCCCCAGAGCTCAGTTCACCAAGTGCCGGGGGACTCCCCGGGGTGAGGACGGGGGGTGAGGGGGGTGGGGGGGCTGGTGTCAAGAGGGGAAAACCATGCGGTTCTCCAATTTCCATCCGCCATGGGCAAGACGTCACTTCCAGAAGGAGCTCAGGGGACCACTTGGGAGTTTGGAGAAAGTGGAAAAATCCAGTGGTGAGAGACCATCTGGGTAAGGCCATAAAGCCAAAAGGAGGCAGGACAGCAATGGGGGGAGGTCCGGGAACCCTCGTCTGAGATGGAATCTGCCAAGAATGCCCCCCATTTTCCGGTCTCGAGTTTAGGAAAGCAGAGGGCAGGTCCCAAGGCTGCCTGCCCAGAAAGGAAGCCACCTCCGCTCCCCAACATCTCACCAGGGACACGTCGTCCAGGATAAGCCCGAAGGTGGCGGCTCGTTCCGTCAGGTCATCGCTCACCTGCCTGGAGACCAGCTCCCTCTGGGTGATCAGCTCACCAGCATCAAAGCGAGCCTGGTGGGGGCAGAGAGAGAAAGGGCATCAGGAACACACACACACACACACACACACACACACACACACCCCGGCAAGCTACCAAGGGCAACACACACATAAAAATGGACCCTAGCTAGCTCCAAGGATGACAGATAGAAAGGGCATCAAGAAAACACACACACACACACACACACACACACACACACACACACTGGCAAGCTCCAAGGGCAACACACACATAAATACACCCCCGGCTAGCTCCAGGGGAGAGAGACAGAGACAGACAGACAGACAGACACCCCCACCCCAACACACACACACACACACACACACACACACACACACACACACACTGAGCTCTGGGCCCAAGGCCCTGCTCACTCACCACCACAGACTTGAGGATCTCTGTGGTGATGGACGGCAGCACACGCTCATCGTAGTCTTCGCCGATGCTGGTGTAGATGCGCGGCAGCTGGCTGGCCACCGGCCGGAAGAGGATGCGCAGGGTGATGTTGACATTCTGTAAATCTGAGGATGGGGGTGGGGACGCAATGTCACACAGCGCCTGTCACGTGACCTCTGCTATCCCAAACACACTACAAGTCACAGTCGTGAACTGTAATGGTGTGGATCCTGAGACCGTACACGGGGCATGGGCACGAAAGCCGAGTCCTGATTCCACAGCGAGGGGACTCGCCTAAAGGCAGCGATGATAACAGCTTTTCAGTGGGCCCCGAAAGCCGGCTGCCACAGCGAATCCGCTGAGACTGGCAGGTTTGGAACTGCGAATGCTGAAAGCTGGGAGAAGGCCTCTCAAGGCCGGTCAAACACTGCCCACATCAGAACAGGACCTTGGAGACCCAAGGGGGTTTGGCCAGCTGCAGCCAATCTCCACTTGTTTCCTTATCTCCAAGGGAGAAAACGATTCCCTCTGCTTCCAGTCATGGTGGATGGGAGAGAGTGAAGAAAGAAACAAGAAAGCTCACGCACCAGGGATGGGGCTACCTTCCCTGACCTGGCCCAGCTGGTCAACTTCCCTCAACACCAGGCCTGTTGGGAGCCAAGCGTGCCACGGCCCGTTCTCAGGCCCCACACTAAGCTCATCAGTATCCAGATCCAGGCACCAAGGCGGGGACTGACCACCCACCTCCGGGTTTCCAACAGAACGAAAACTGCCACATAACAGAGCCGTCAAGGGCAAAACAGCGCAGAAGGAAAGTGGGAGAGGTGGAGAGATTGGAAAGCTTATGAGATTTCAGTGTGTGTGTGTGTGTGTGTGTGTGTGTGTGCATGTGTGTTTGGGGTCGGGGGAGCCTACATCCAGCATTGCTCGGGGTCAGACTCCAACCAGGATCACAGCAGCGGCAGCTGCATGCAGGGCAAGTGCCTTGCCTCCGGCATTACCACCCTGGCAGGGAGTTTAGGTCCAGGCTTCAAAGCCTCTTTTTGCTTCCTTTGGGCTTAGGGCGACAGTTGGTGGGAATCACTCCCGGACCTGTGCTGGGGGATCGGGTGGTGGCTGGGAAGGGGGCCCAGTCTCCCTCACACACAGCGTACATGCGGCCCTTTGAGCTCTCCCTCCAGCCTGCGGCGCTGGACCCCTCTCTTGCTTCTGATTCCAGTGAGTCACCAGTCCCACCTTACAGAAGAGGCCTTGGCCCCTCCCCGCAGGAGCGACAGGACACACAGTGCAACTCAGACCCCTTCTCACTCGCAGCTTCAGGGTAGTACTCCACGGGAGCCTGCCCACCCCCCACCCCCCCACCAGAGGGCTCTGGTGTGCTCCAGAGACTGGGCTCCCGAACCCCCTCCACTGAACCCCTTCTACACCTGTCCGCCTCCCCAGGGAGACTGAGCGCCTAAAGGGCTCTGGCTCTAGTGACTTTTGAGAGACCGCACCCTCTGTCCTGCACAGAGTCCAACGAGGAATAGCACCGACAGAGTGGTACTGGGTGGCCCTGCCCCCTCCCGATGCAAAGCTGCCCTGATGAGCAGCACCCCTTTCTGGAGGACGGGGAGACAAGAGTGACAGTTCAGGGGGCTGGAGAGACGGCAAAGTGGGTAGGGCAGTTGGACTGCAGGGCGACTAACCCAGGTTTAGTTCCTGGCATCCCATACGGTCCTGAGCACAGCAGGGTATGGCTCAAAAAACAAAAAACAAACAAACAAACAAAAAAACCCAAACAAAACAAAAGGGTGGACAGTTTATTTTAGGTCCTGCCTGGAGTTCCAGGGTTGTCTCACAGACCCCGGGCGTCCACTTGGGAGATAGCCCCAGGAGGCCAGCTCTCTGGAAAACAAGGCAAAGGGCGAGTGGGCTAGGCAGGCTGACCGAATGGCCCGGGAAGGGTCAGCTGCACTGCAATTTCTCTACGGTCGTCTGTGAACGTGCCCCTCAACTAGACCCTTCTGTGAATCCATACAGAATTTTTCCAGGACAAAAAGCAAGAAATTCTTACTCTGTGTAGTTTGACATCTGACTCACGGACCAGACTCACCTTTGCTGCCTGTGATCACCGGCACGTTACGAGGCCGAGAGCGGCAATCGAAGATGATCGGTTTCTGCACCCAAGGAATGAGGAAGTGCGTCCCTTCCCCCACCACAATGTCCTGCACGCCACGAAATCGGTCAAAGATGACAGCTCTATGCCCAGCGTCCACTAGGAGAGAAGCAGTGTGAGTCAGGGGGATTCCTGCTCCCTAAAGAATCCCCTCCCTGGAGTTGGACCGATAGCACAGCAGGTAGGGCATTTGCCTTGCACGCGGCTGACCCGGGTTCAATTCCCAGCATCCCATATGGTCCCCCGAGCACTGCCAGGAATAATTCCTGAGTGCAGAGCCAGGAGTAACCCCTGTGCATTGCTGGGTATGACCCAGAGAGCTCCCTGGAACCTTCAGCCCCTTTCCTACACCCGCTTCTGCTCCTCTTCCCATGCTGCTGCTGGTCTCGAGAGGCTTCTGACTCGCTTCCAAACAAAGCTGTGAATTCCAAGCCCGTGACTTCCCAAGGACTTGGGGAACAGGACCTGCCCCTCAGCTTCCTCCTCGGAACGCACGGCTGACAATGTGCAGAGACACACCCCCCTCGAGCCTTACCGCCCTCCCCCCCCCCCCCCGATTCCACGCATTTCTAGAAACAGCCCCAACTCCTGGAACTCACTCAGGAGCCCTGACACATTCTCTACCCCGGCTCGCAGAAACAGCAGCTCATTACAAGCGTTCGGAACACTGGACGGCCTCAACCTCTCTTGCTCCCTGGCCCTTGGTTTCTTAAGGTTTTAAGGGTTAGACAGCAACCCACTGGGCTGAGAAACCAGTGATGGTGAAACTGTTCCCTGCGCAGGCAGAAAAGATGGGTGCAGGACGCTGAAGGGCACCATCTCTCCAGGCAGGCCTTCTGACTCACTGCCCTTTTCCTGCTGTTCAACGTTGATGGTTGATCTGAATACCCTCCCACCACAACTAACTCTCCTCATCGCAGTCACACACAGTGGGTCAATCTACTGCTCCTCCCCTCAGCGAGAGTGAGAGCACGTCAGGGCTGGAGGGGAGTCTCAGGCCTCACTGTCTAAAGTCAAACGGGAAAACACCCAACCCGCCACCTCCAACCTGGCCACCTTGTCGGAAGTTGGCAATGCATCTGGCAAGGCAGCTGTCTGGGAACGTGCTCCCCACTGCTTCAGCAAAGCCAAGGCCTCCAAGGCCCAAAGGCTTGCTGAGTGATTCTGGGGACAGAGAGAGAGGAGTAGTGGATCTCATCCCAGCTTCCGTGAAAGCCTGGCGCTGTTCCTTCCACCAACAGAAACAGCTGCGAGTGTCCCAGCAGCAAGGGGTGACACAGAGGCTCCTTCTGTATAAGGACTCTGAATGTCCAGGGCCCCAAGACCAGGTGCCCGGGTCAGGGAGATGATGTTTGGCACGCAGAGGTCCATCCCGGGCACCATATGGTCCCCCCAGCAATGTTGGGTGCCATGCTGTTGGTTTCCAGCACTGCTAGGTCAGAGCGGCATAGCATCAATACTGTGTTGAGGGGCACAGAGGGTGCAGGATGGCAGGAGGTGAGGTACCATCCCAGAGCCAGTACCGTCCAGTGTCACGGGAACAGCGCAAACCAATGAAAACCCTCCAGGAAGGGCAGCGGGCCTGCCCCCAGCTCTCACCATTGTACAAGGCCGAGTTCACCACGCCTCCTGCAACAGCTAAAGCCAGGCCGAACTTGCCAATGGACTCAAACACTTTGGCAGCCATGTCTCCTTCTGCTGAACCCACTCACACCTGAGGAGGGGGAAAACAAAACAGCCTGACCCCCAAGTCCCCAAGAGCCCTCTCCGAGGTGGTACACTTCGGGAGCTGCCTCCTTATCTCCTCCCCAGCACACCGGGAAAACAAAACTACAGCTTGGCCTTTTGACCTCTCCTCTATTTCTTTTTCCTTTGGTGGTGGGGGTGGAGGGGTCTCTGGGGCCATACCCACTGGGTCCAGGGGCTACTCCCAGCTCTGTGCTCGGAGAACTGCAGTGCCTGGAACCCCCGCTTCCTGCGACCCAGCGTGTGCTGTGTGATGAGCTCTCTGGCCCCTCTGTGCCCCCCCCCCCACGTAAGCACACGGGTCAGGGGTGCTTTGCTCAACACTGGGAACGAGGCATCACACTTAAAGCCCCCCCTCCCACTGTCTCTCTTCCCCAGAGAGAGCCTGAGCTTGGGGCAAACATGAACTGCAAGATCATGCTACATCGTGATCCCGGGGAAAATAGCCAAGACAACGGGGCAGCCCAGTCCACTGGGCAGCAGGGCTCTCGCGGGCCCTGGAAGGGCCGGGAGGGTGGCGCCCAGGCCGCGGGGCGGGAGCAGCCGAGCAGAAACCAGCCGGCACCGAAGTTTGCAGTGCTCCGCCCCCACCGCGGGCCACTAGGCTCCGACCCGCCCTCCCCACCTCGTTGTCCCCGTGCACTTAAAATAGACCTTCCCCGGGGCCAGGCTGCACAGTCCGGACTCCGCGATCTTTCCATTTCGGAGACTTTCTGGATTATTCCTCACCCTGGCCCCGTGCACGCCTCTCTCAACTCCAGCTCCTTGTGGCTGGCCTCGGATTCGGGTCCTTGAAACTCCCCCCCATGAGGCGCACCTACACACGCAGCCCGCTTGCTCAAAGAGCGAAAGGGAATGCAGAGATGGACTGCAAAGGCGTCCGCAGCCGGCCAGGGCTGCTCCCCTCCATTCTCACCTGCTCCTACTCTGACCTCCACATGAATTCCTCAGCCGCACGCACTGCGCACGCGCGGGGCGGCCCCGCCTCCGCCCCGCCCCCTTCCAAGATCCGCACCGGCGATTGGTGAGCAGGGGCGCTGTGCCTCCTGGGAAGGGTGGCGTGCAGGCCTTGGCTGGCCCCGAGACTCTCCATGAGTGAACTACAATTCCCAGAATCCCATGCAGCGGCCGGCCCTCGCTGAAAAGTCTTTTCTCTTTGGTGGTAACTGCTGAGAGGTTGCCGCAGAGCCTCTTGGGGCCTGTAGTTCCTTAGGGATAAATGCACGTGCGGGTCCAGAAGGCTGGCAAAGTGCGGTCGACTGGTGAGCGGGAGGGGCAGAGGAAGGTTTACGGCAGATGGGAAGGGCCAGCGGGCACTTTAGAAAAGTGGACTAACCATTGGGCTGAGAGATCTCGAGGGGAGCCGAGAGGCCGTCTTCCTATTGCAGCTCCGTCTGGAAGTTTCAAGCGTTTCTTAAGAGTCGTGGAACTCTGATTGCTAGAACCACGGAGAGAGAGAGAGGCTTAGAAACTTTCTGCGTTAGAACACGAGGCCCAGATTCAGCAAAAAAGATTTAGAGCTTTGGACACAATTTGGTTCTTGAGCCACGCCTGGGGGTGCTCAGGGACAATACCTGGCTGACAGCTGGGGGATCATGTGGTGCCTGGGCTGTCAGCCTGGTCTCCTACATGCAAAGCAGCTACACTAGCCTTTGAACTGCCTGCACGGCCCTAGCCTGCACAGGGTTTGAAACTGCTGATTATCTGATTTGGAAAAGTTAAAGGAATACTACAAAGAAGAATTTCTACCTTACTGAAATTCCTCTCTTGTTAGCAGTCGGGGCCATCTACTTTATCATTTGCTCCTTTACTCCTCCCCATCTCTTTATTTCTCTCTGTAGTTTCTAATAGGTCGTCGTTGTATATAATCTTAAGAAAATGCATCCTGGGCCGGAGCGATAGTACAGCGAGTAGGGCGTTTGCCTTGCATGCGGCCGACCCGGGTTCGATTCTTGGCATCCCATATGGTCCCCTGAGCACCGGCAGGAGTAATTCCTGAGTGCAGAGACAGGAGTAACTCATGAGCATCGCTGGGTGTGACCCAAAAAGCGGAAAAAAAAAAAAGAAAAGAAAATGCATTCTACTCACTGCATTCCAATTTTGTCCACAGATCCAGTAATGAACTTTATAGCCATTTCCCTCATCCCCAGGCCCCAGCAGGATGTAATCTAAGATTAGATTCTGTATTTATTTCTCATGTTTCTTTAGTCTTCTGTAATCTGAAATTTTTCCTTAACCTTTCTTGTCTTTTATTACTTAAAAAAATAAAAAGACAGAAAATGCCTCTCATTAGGGGTTTGTCTAATGTTCCCTCATGATTAAGTACAGATTCTGAGTTCTTAGCTGGGTTATTACCTAAATGTTGTGTGGACACTTACTTTTGATGAGACCGGGCTTATTTCTGAATTCTAGTTTGGCTAGATCCTTCTCATTTTCCTCTGCCTTTCTCTCCTGGCCCCTATGTCCTTGTTTGTCCCCGCCCATTGGTACAATCAGATGATAATGGGAATATCCTTGAAAGCATATCCAGGTTGTCTGAGTTTTCCAGAACCAATTCCAACCTTCTCTGATTGCCTTAATCGGCTGCTTTCATTGTTCTCTTCTCAGAGTATATAGCAGTGCTTGGCAGAGTGGCCCTCAGTATTTACCAAATGAAGAAAGAAGGCCATTGGAGGGGCGAGTTGAGTACGCTACAGTCAGGTGACACCCATTCTTCCCCAAAATCCTCTTAAGAATTGCCTTAGTAGCCTTTATTTCTTATATATATATTTTTTTTTTTGGGGGGGGGTTACACCTAGCGATGCACAGGGGTCACTCCTGGCTCTGCATTCAGGAATTACCCCGGTGGTGCTCAGGGATGCTGATGCTGGGAATCAAATCCGGGATGCTGGGAATCAAATATGGGATGCTGGGAATCAAATCCGGGTCGGCCGCATGCAAGGCAAATGCCCTACCCGCTGCGCTATTGCTCCAGCCCCAGTAGCCTTTATTTCTAAGCTAGAGTTATGAGCATATTTGCAAAAATGTTAAAGGAAATCAACATTTGTGTCATGTCTTATAATAATTTTGTTTGGTTTTTGCTTTTGGGCTACACCCAATGGTCATCGTGTGGTCCTGGGCTCATTCTAGGTGTGGAGAGAGAGGTATGAGGGATAAAGAAATCAAGGAGGGTGTCTGGGTAATTTCAGTATGATGAGGCAGGGTCTGGGCAGAGCGGTGTGGGTGCATGTTCTCTTGGAGGACCCAGCTCGTCGCTCATTGAGGATTTCCCCCTTTGGCCCCTCCTCTGGCTGCACTGTCAGTGGGGTTGAGGATAAATACTTCTTGTAGCAGGGAGATAGTGCCAGTGCTCGAGCTCATGCCTAGCATGTGTGAGGTCTAGAGTTTGATCCCTGGCACCACCGGCCCCTCCTGGGTTGGTCCCGGTGACCCCTAACCCCTGAGCACCACATTGCCAGACTGGAGCACGGCCAGCATCACTCCCAGGCCTTCAGAGCATTGCTGGGTGTGACCCCAATTTTTTAAGGGAAAGATATGGGGCCAAAGATATGGAGAGAGAGTACCAACAGGTAGAGCACTAATCTGGCACAAGGTCAACTGGCACTCCATATGATCCCCAAGCTCTGCCTGGAGTGATCCCTGAGCACAGAGCCAAAAATAACCCCTGAGCATCAACAGGTGTGGCCCACAAAAAAAAAAAAAGGAAAAGGTAGTAAAGGGTTAAGGTGCTTGCTTTGCATGCATCTGATCCAAGTTTGATTCCCAGTTCTGTATATAGTCCCCTGAATACCACCTTGAATGATCCCTGAGCACAGAACCAGGAGTTACTGAGAACTGCAGGGTGTGACCCAAAAACAAACCAAATAAAGAGAACAACTATATCTTGAACACTGACAGTGGAGCAGTTCATAAAGTTCATAAATAATCTTACCGAACCTATTTTCTTTCTTTATTGGGGGGTTGGCAAATTAGCTTCATGACCCCTAAACCAAGTAATGATGAACCTTTGCAACTGTGAACTCTGCATTTAACTTTGAACTGCCGCATTAGGAGAGAGTTTCTGTTTTATTATGGAAGCCCTCAGGCCTGTGTACCCAGCCACATTTTTTACATTTTTCTGGACCACGGGCAAGCACTCCACCAAACCTGGGGTCTTTGGGCCAAACTCGACTGTGCTCAGGGCTTACTCCTGGCTTTGCACTCAAGGACTACTACAGGTGAGCTGAGTGCAAGGCAAGTGCCCTACTTCCTGTTCTATCTCTCAAACCCCATTATTAAACCTATTTTCATGACACCATTTTACAGTGGAAAAAGTGAATGGAGGAATAAAGTAACTTGCTTGCAGTCACCAACTTGGTGAATGAACCACATGTCTGAAACGTAATATTTACTTTTTTTCCCCCTTTTGGTCACACCCAGTGACATTCAGGGGTTATTCCTGACTCTGTACTCTGCACTCAGGAGTTACTCCTGGTGGTGCTCAGGGGACCATATGGGATGACGGGGATTGAACCTGGGTTTGGCTGTGTGCAAAGCACACACCCTACCGGCTGTACTATCGCTCCAACTCCAGAGTCTGTGCTTTCCCAGCTACAGCTGGGAGAGTGGCACCCAAGATCCCAGCAAAGGTTGGTTCTGTTTCCCAGTTCAGTGCCAACTGTGGATAGTGGTGAGAATTAAAGCAAACACTTGGAGGAACATGTTTCTCTTTTCTTCATTTGTGCTACAGCACAGGTGTGTGGGAAACCTCCCATGGCTTGGACATCCTGCTGGACGCTGGCCCACTGTGACAAAGGAGACAGAGAAGAACAGTATCCTGAAGGAGTGGCCCTCAAGGTGCCCACTTATTCACCAACAAGCCTGAGAAGAAAGGTGATATGTGGGCGGGTGTCAGCCAGAACAAAGCCGGTGTTCGTAGGAAGTGCGGACTGTAGGAACGGTTTGACCGCAAGTCACAGAAGAGCTCACACCACTGAGTGAATCAGTGGGGAGACCGTAAAGAGACCCTGTTTTAGACCACTGCTGGAATACCCCTGTCGCAACACAGGTCACACAAAGTTTGGGTTTCTCAGTGCAAATAAAAAGTTACATTCCCACTCCACTGTTGTGCAATAGCAGTGTATCTAAAAGGCACCACGAAAAACCAGACAGTACGTACTGCTAACAGATAATGAGAGGCCAGCAGGAAGGGCATTTGCCATGCACACGGTTGACCCTGGTTTGATCCCCAGCACCACATCTGGTCCCCTGAGTCCTGCCAAGAGTGGTCCTTGAGTGCAGAGTCAGGAGTAAATCCTGAGCGCTGCTGAGTATGGCCTAAAAAGATGAAACAAAAATAGAAGATGAAATGACCATTTGCTGGAAGGGGTGTGCTTGATGCAGGCTTGTCACAAACCTTCAGTACGTGAAAAGGACCACAATATGAAGCACCAGGAAATGAGGTATGGGGCTGGAGCTTTTAGTAGTACAGTAGGTAGGGCACTTGTCTTGCACGAGGCCAACCTGAGTTCAGTCCCCAGCATCTCATATAGTCCCCCAAGCTCCACCAGGAGTGATCCCTGTGCACAGAGCCAGGAGTAACCCTGAACACTACTAGTCTGGCCACGAAACAAAACAAAAAAGAAATGAGGTGTGCCTAGGTGTGGAAAAACACGGTTCCAGGGAGGTAGTGGTGGGGTTGGTGAGCTGAGGGGCTTGCCACGGCCATGTGATGGAATCTTTCCAGTTTCCAGCTCTGCCATCTTCAGGGATTCCCTGTGGCACTCATGGCATTCCCCTCAAGATCACACAATCATTATAGAAGGTCCCTGCAGTGTTCTCAGCCAAAGGATGGAAGGTAGACAAAGGTCATGCCCTATAGGGGCCTATTTGTAAGAATAAGATAAAGTTAGGGACCAGAGAGATGGCTTAGGGGCCAGAGCACAGGCTTTGCCTGCAGGAGCTCTGGGTTTGAT